CTGTTGGGCTTAATTAATGACCAGTTGCTTCCTTCTCAGGAGCTGTGGGGTTTGACGGTTGCTTTCAGTCTCCAATTCACCGTTTTCTTGGGGATTGGCAAAAATCGGGACTAGAGAGGCGGTCAGGAGCCCAATCATAACGGACTTTATACCAAAATGAGGAGTCTAGGTCCACTATGCAAAAATAGAAGTACAATTTAAAAATTGCTGAATGTATGCTTCTCATTAAAGGGCAGCAAAATATGGCTAGAATAAGAAGAGAAAGCAGATATGTTGTTGAAATCCCACTAGTGAGTTTTTTTGTCTCTCAAAACGTCTATTTTACTCACTCTGTCGTGGCTTACTTTAAAAAAGCTTTAAGAAACTATACCTTAGCCCACATTACAATCTGTTACTGTATTGGACTGCGCGTGGTCTCTATTGGTAGGAAGGACACAAATACTTTAGTACTGTGTGTCAGCCATTTTCAAATATATCCCCCCACTTAATCTAATCCAAAGAACACTCTGCTCAAAAACTAGATTTCTGTTTCTTAAAAAAATACTTCAATCTAATGTTATAAATGTAATTGAAAATCTCTAAGATTATCCGATAAAGAGCAAGACAGCTTGAACTGTTATGCCATGCAGTAAGAAAAATACACACCAGTTAAAATAATCCAGTGGTTTTAAAATTCCATTCTTGAGAACGGACACAATAAATTAGATAGGTCTCTACATAATCTGGTTTAAACTCTTTGTCAACCAGTTATTGCTAACAATATCCAGGACATGCAACTATCCATTCTTTGTGAAGATGTTCATATATGGAATTTCTAAATTGCACTGTTTTATCTCAACCGTCAAAATATTCTCACATATAACCCAAAACACTTGTTGAAAAATTAATCCCTTTTTTTTTTTACTTTTTTTTTTTTGGAGGAAGATTAGCCCCGAACTAACATCTGCCACCAATCCTCCTGTTCTTTGCTGAGGAAGACTGGCCCTGAGCTAACATCCGTGCCCATCTTCCTCTACTTTCTATGTGGGACACCTACCACAGCATGGCTTGACAAGCGGTGCCAACGTCCACACCCAGGATCCAAACCAGCAAACCCCTAGGCCGCCGAAGCAGAATGCGTGAGCTTAACTACTGCACTACCGACCTGGCCCTAATCCCTTTTTTTAATAGTCTTCAAAATAGAAAACAGAATTAGCAACTTCATAAAACTATTAAAGTCTTTAAGGATCATGATAGGCTACAGGGAACAGATACATAAGTTGTGTATGTATACAAATATTTAAATACATACATATATTTAACATACTATATAGTCACCCCTCCCTCGCTCTATATATAAATGTATGTAAACTGCACATAGCAGAGTGCTTAATGGTTAATAATGGACACAATGCTTATTGGCTTGAATTTGTACTTCAAAAGTAAATATCTGGAGATCGAAATGTCAAATAACAGAAGTCCAATAACAGGTTCTATGACAGTCTAATAACAGGTTCTGTGAGATCCAAATTTAAAGTTTCATTTTTTTCCTTGCATGCCATTGCTAGGGGCCAACCACCAATCCAACTGCAAGCTTAGTTCTGCGAGGCTGTCCTGACAAGAAAAAAACCCATGAATTAATTAATTAACCATGTGGCATTTCTCCTGCCTCTCTAAGAGCAAGAAAGAACTAGCACAAGAAAGAAATATATCAGTTCGAGCATGAAGTACTGAAATGGTTCTCGGCTCTCTTACAAGGAAATGTGAATATTTGTAAATGAACGTTAGGGTTTTTTATTATGGAAATTTTTGAACATATATATGAGAGTGAATAGTATAATGAACCCCATGTATCCACTAGCTAAGATTCAACAGTTACCAACATATAGTCAATCTTGCTCCACTGCTATCTCCACCTAACACACATCCTGAAATCTTGGTTACTTTTAAGCAAATCCCAGACATCATTTCATCCCTAAATATCTCAGGATGAGTCTCTAAAAAATAAGGTAACTTTTAAGAAACATAAGCACTATACCATTATCACACCTAAACAACTTTCTTAAACATCACCAAATATCTGGTCAGTGTTTAACTTTCCCATCTGCCTTAAAAATGATTTTTTTTTTTTTTTTTTGTGAGGATTGTCCCTGAGCCAACATCTGTGCCAATCTTCCTGTTTTGTATGTGGGACACCACCACAACATGGCTTGATGAGAGGTGTGTAGGTCCACACGTGGGATCCAAACTTGTGGACCCCAGGCCACTGAAGCAGAGTGTGAAAACTTAACCACTATGCCACCAGGCCAGCCCCTCGAAAATAATTTTTTTTACATTTGGTTTGTTTGAATTATGACACAAATAAGATCCACATATTGCATTTGGCTGACACAGTCCTAAAACTTTTTCATTCGAGTTTCCCCTCCTTTATTTTCCCTTGCAATTTATTAAAGAAACTAAGTTGGTCCTTCTGGAGTTGCAGGATCATGTTCTAGACTTTCTTGATGGCATTTCAATGGTGTCTTTAACACATTCCTCTGTCCCAGGCTTGATCGAATTGAGCTTGGTTTTGTATAATATTTCATAAGTAGTATTGTGTACTTAGATTGGGAGCACAAGTCATTCTTGTTTTCTAATGTTCAAACTGATCAATGGTTTCAAAAACCTGATTCATTCATTATCAAATTCCCCATAAGATTTCACCTCAAGGATTTAGCAGTTATCAATGATTGTTTACAAGATACAAAATATTACTATTCTAATTTTATAATTCCTTTTATTAGATGAATTAAAGAAAAACTGTCCCTCATCAACCATTTGATTGTCCTGCCCAAGATCTGTAATCAGCCTTATCGCTAGGGAGCTTTAGTTCATTTTAATGGGAAATGGATTTGGACATTATATAGTGGTTTTTATAGAGACAAAATATGAATTCATACTACTATTTCCCACTCAAACTTAGAATTACAGAACTTTTACTTACTTTCTTCAGTTTCATGTGTCTCTTTTCTCTGACACTGAAAATTCTCATTTCTAATTACATTAGAATAGTTATTAGCAATATAATTAGAGGAGTTTGATTTCTTTCCAGTTCTTTTTGCCCTTGGGGATATGCCACTAGGGGTGTGCAAATTACTGTGCTTTAAAGATATTTGAAACATTCCCATGTATTTAAGCCACCAACTTGATACACAATACGGCTTGTTTCATTTCACTTTGAATTTTTAGGGGTTGCTTTTCTTTAATTTTGATGTAATCTTGTTTTATAAAAATGTAGTATATGGTTCCAAAGTCAAATGTACAAAAGTTGAGGTATATTCAGAGAAGTCGAGCTTCCATCCTGGTCCCCTCCATCTGGTTCCTCTCCCCCCACCTCCCACTCACACCATGGTAACTATTTTTTAAAGCTTTTTTTTTTTTTTTTTGAGGAAGATTAGCCCTGAGCTAACTACTGCCAGTCCTCCTCTTTTTGCTGAGGAAGCCTGGCCCTGAGCTAACATCCGTGGCCATCTTCCTCTACTTTATACGTGGGATGCCTACCACAGCATGGCTTGCCAAGCAGTGCTATGTCTGCGCCCGGGATCCGAACCGGCGAACCCTGAGCCGCCAAGCAGAAGGTGTGAACTTAACTGCTGTGCCACCAGGCTTTTTTTCTTTAATATAAGCAAACAAGGTTATACACATATTTATATTCCCTCTTAAATAAATAGTGCTATATATCTTCTTCACCTTGTTTTTCACTTAATAGGACCACTCCATAGCATTACAGAAATATTCCTCTTTGCTTCTCACAGCTACATACTATTCAATTATGTGGATTTACCACAGTTTAGAATAATCTATTTTTAAATAGGGTATGTGTAATATTTAGATGACTAATATTTCATGCCTCTGACTTGCGACTTAAGAGTAAGACCAAAAGGGACCAGAAGCCAAGTCAATCAAGCTGACTGGTAAATTCAGAAGTGGGTATATATATATTTGGAGGCTGAGGTTGAAAAATTTCTGAAAATTGTAGGTTTTCTTCCAGCCATACCTATAACACACATCTGAGATGCCTATCCAGCCAGTGATTTCTTCTCTGAAAGCTGGTTCCCATTTAGAATGGCCAGCAGGACTTGAACTGAGGACAGGGTAGTGAGTGCTCACTGGCCAGAACAGTTTATCACTCAATTATTCTAGTTGATGAGTATTATATTTTTCAGCATGATAAATGAGGTATCGATATACAAAACTAGACACTGAAGAAAATTTTTGTTGTTAGTCTTGTCTAGTCGATGCTGACTCTAGTGACCCTGTGTACGGCAGAGCGGAACCCTGCCCAGTCTTTTTGCATCATCCTCTCACCTTCCAGTGCTGTATCAGTCAATGCTTTGCTGCTAATCACAGGGTTTTCAGGGCCAATTGTTTTGGAAGTGGGCGGCCAACTCCTTCCTAGTCTGCTTTAGTCCGGAAGTTCCACTGGAACCTGTCTACCATGAGCGACCCCTTCTGGTATTTGAAATACTGGTGGCATAGCTTTCAGCATCACAGCAACATGCAGCTGCCACACTGTGACACCTGACAGATAGGTGGTGTGGTTCCCTGACCCAGGAAACAAACTCAGGCCCATGTAGTGACAGCACTTAATCTTGACCACTACACCACCAGGACTGGCCTTGAGGAAGATGATCATAGGATCTCTTTTGAGCTCTTTCCATGTGCAAAGCATTGAAATAAGCATTTTGAACAAAAATCTGTGAGCTAGGTACTATTATTATTCCTGTGTTAAATAATAACATATTAAAGCATAGAAAGGTTAAGTAATTCATGTAGAGTCACACAGCTAGGAAATGACAGGGCTGGGATTTAACCTCAGGCTTCTGGCTCCAGAGCCCATATCCCTAACCACTAGACTACCCTGTCTGAAGGAATGGATCAGAAGAAAGAATATTCAGATGTCAATAGTAAACTGAGATGATAAAAGTTTTTGTTCTGACACAACACTCAGATATGAAAGAAAACAAAGAACAAGATACAAATACAGGAACATGGTTTTATTTTCTTTAAAATATTCATATGCTCCAAAACATTTTACTTAAAAATTTTCACTGGAAGTAGGAAAACAAAAAACAGTAAAGAACACCAGCATGAATACATAACGCATACCTTAACTGTGATACATCAAATGTATTTTAACGTAATACTTTCATAACATGATATCTCACATTGTGTTAAGAAATAATACTAGGAAGTGATACTAGAGAACTATAGAATCCTGGATTCTGTGGCAGATGGGATATCCTTATGGGAGCCAAAAAAGAGCCCTATAAGGTAGACAGAGAAAAGTGACAAGTAATCTAAAAGTAGCATGTCAACCAGCTATAGGTTTTTAAAACGCCACTAAAAATGAATCTGAGAATGCCTTTAGACATAGTTCCCACTTTAATGAACATCAGAAAATTCGCAGTGGGATTGTAAAGGTAGGAATGTGATTTTATTGTGGGGTTTTAGCCATGACTCTCACCTTACTGTACTGTATGCAAAGGAACAAGGGAAAGCCTTTAGTCATGATTTGTACCTTAATCAGCATCAAACAGGGTCCACAGTAGTCAGAAACCCTATAAATGCACCAAAGCACACGGGCTTTTTAAACTAAGTCTCAAAGCCTAGTTAACGCCGGAAAATTCATACTGGAAAAGAACCATACAAATTTAAAGATTTTGAGGGGCCAGACGGGTGGCATAGTGGTTAGGTTCACACACTATGCTTCAGCGGCCTGTGGTTTACTGGTTCAAATTCCAGCGGCAGACCTACATACTGCTCATCAAACGATGCTATGGTGGCATCACATACAAAATAGAGGAAGACTGGCACAGACGTTAGCTCAGTGACAATCTTCCTCAAGCAAAAAAGAAAATTAAGGATTATGAAAAGTCCTTAAATAGAGTTTAACTTTTAGTCACTATCACAGAACTCAAAATGGAGCGAAACCCCAAGTGTGACATAAGCAGGCTTTTAGCTTATTACTTACCCATTAGTAAAGTCCACACTGGACAGAAACCTTTTAAATGTAATCAAAATGAGGTCTTAAGTAGTGAGTGACTCAATCCTTAATTCGGTATCAGATCTTCTATAAGAGAAACTTTACGAATGTTCTGAATGTGCAAGGCATTTAACCAAAGGGGTGGAATTTGAAGACACAAATGCTAAAGGAGACAGATGCTTAGAGGTGCCTTCCCAACCACCCTAGATAAATAGCGCTCCTCTCCAGTCACACTGGCCCCTTACGCTGCTGTATTCTCCACTGCACTTAACACTTAACACAGCACACATTTCTTTCTTAAAATCTGTTAACTTCCTCCACTAGAATACAAACTCCAAAAGAGGGTATTTTACAAAGCTATATCCTCAGTGCCTAGGACAAACCCTAGCACGTAGCAGTCACATAATAGTGGTTGATGAGTGAAGTGTAGTACTTTCCTTATGTAGAGTATTTGGTATCTTGGATTTACTTCATTCTGAATGAAACAGAACTTACTTAGGAGGCTGTAACACATACAAAAGTGTGTGGTTCGTTGTTTTATAATACACCAGAGTAAAAAGCATTACATTATAACTGTTATGGTCTACACATGATTCTCCAATTGTGTGGGGGATGGAAGTCATACAAAAAGCACCCAATAGTACCCTCAAAACTGTACCAACCAGTGAGAGACCCAAGTGAGTCACAAGGGTCATGAAGGCAAAAATGGAAGTTCCAGCTTCTGAAGAGAAAGTTTTCTTGTTTTCTCAGGTTCTAAATCTAAATAATACTTTACTCCTCTGAGAAGTAATTCCCAATTTGCCTTGTCAACCACTGGGGTAGAGGGCATGGCAGTTTGGAATCTGCAAAAAGCAACCCTTCTGTGCAGAGTTCAGCACTTAAGAATTATGTCTCTTATTAATTCAAGAACATTACTAAGGGCCTACCATTCATTAAGCACTATGTATAAAGATACATTTTCAAAATATGAAGTTCACCAACTCATAAGGAAAATAACTATAAAGCAACGTGATCAGTGTGATAACATGGGAAGTGAAGATTAAGGAAGCAGAAGCACAGGAGTGTCTAACTTTGACTGGAAAGGGCTGAAGAAAACCTTAAGGATACAACATCACTGGAGCTGAGTCCTAAAGGATAAGTAGTAGGTATTCACTTGGCCATAAAGAAGGGCAAAGCGTTCCAGGCAGAGGTAACGAGGCCTGCTAAGGGTACTGAGGGAAAAAACACACAGCACGTTGGGGAAGAAACTGGAAGTCCTTGTGATTGATCATGATGCTCCAAAAGGGGTGGAGTGAGGGTGGGCAGTTTGTGGTTTCAAAAACCTTATTACAAATTATTTAAATCTTTATACTTACAAAGCACAAAGGTATTTTCATGGTAACACTTGTTAAAAAGCTAAGTTAAACAGAAATCTTCTTAGCTGTGTAAGGGGTAAGCAAGGAGACAGCAGCAGACACAGGGAAAGAGTCTCCTTGTCTCAAGAGGCTTTATCAGATTGTTTATGTGTATCAAAAAGGAGCCTGTGCTTTACATGTCTGAAGAACACTGGACTAGAACATGATTACACAGGATGAACTGGCAAGGTAGGCAGAAACGAGGTTATGACATTCTGTGTTGCCCTGCTCCGTGGAAGACCGAAAAAACAGAAAACATGCACCAGAAAAGATCTTAGACGAAAGACGAGGATTAGTGGTTTGGACACACTGAATTTAAAACTACCATGGGATGCCTAAGTGAAGATATTTAATAGGCAGTAAGAAAGAAGGCTTAGAGAGGAAAAGAGAAGCTGCAAAAAAAAAACAAAGAGAAAGAAGGAAGGAAAAGGGGGGTGGACAGAACTCCAGGGAAGAGCAATACCTAAACGGTAGGTAGAAAAACAGAAGCCCCTGGGGAAGTGAGGGAGATGGCACAGACGAAAGGTGGAGATTGCTCTTCAACAGGAAGTAGCTACTTCTTTTCCTCTAAAAAAGGGAAAATGAGTAGGGCAAAGGTAATAAATAGAAGTTAACTTCCTCCTGGTCTCAATTTTCTGTAAGATAAGACCAAGAGCTGTATGCTAGCAGAGGGGACAGAGGGCCTGAGCAAAGTGATGAGGAAAGTTACAGGTTTGGATTAGCCACAGCGGGAAGGGCAGAGGGGCCACAACAGTAACAAACAAGAGGCTTACATTGAGGGCTCTTTTAAAGTTGAAAGCAAGATACTTACAGAGATTCCACTTGAAGGACTGCATGTACTTCACGTGGAACTCAGCATCCCAGGAAATGTGGAAGACGGGATGAATTCAATGTTGAGGGCTTTTGCAGAATGATCAGGCTGAAGGACAAGGGGAAGACTGATTTGAAGAGACTGTGGAGAGCACTTCATAAGGTGCCCCATAAGGCTGGGGCTGGATAGGGAAGGAAGGATGTCTGAAAGGGGCTGATGGTTTAGGAGAAAGGAGAGTAGTCCAGAGGAGGAGGTTGTGAAGAAGCCAAAGAAATAGTCCAATCCAAATAAAGGAGAGAGAAAAATCAGTTAAAATGAGGAAGTGAAAAGCTGGAAAGATGAAAATTGTCATCAGTTACTGAAATTTAAGATTTCAGAAAAAGAAAGTCAGGATGGTGATATTCAAGGTGAGGCCATGGGAATTCCATGCTCCTGGAATGTGATGAAGTCACTGGTGCAGAAATCAAGGATCTATCAGCAAGGTACCAGACAGATGATCCCAAGATGACAACAGAAGTTGAGGTAGACAGAAAGACTGTAAGCAAGATAGCAAGTTAGGCTCTCTGGCCTTTATCACTCACCTCTACTATTAAAAACAAAAAATATTAAAATTTCAATATGTATGAAAAGATGTACCCTAAAAACATACGAACTAACAGTAGACTAACCTAACTTGATTTTATCATCATTACTCACGTGATAAACTACGCATATTCTTTTAAACAATAGGAAAATCATTTTTGAATTTTTATAAAATGCCTAAAAGAATAAAAATTTTAAATGCCATTAGTAATACATGATAAAATAATTAAACAACAATTCTTTTGTGGAGTCTTTCATTATTTACCTTATTGTGGAAATGAAATCTGAATATTGGTCACAATTTTTTATTTTGCCAATTTTTATATCAATAGCATATATCCAAAGCAATGAGATGACCTGATTTTAAATCTTTGAAGCACAGCAAACCTCAAGACAGGAATACTAAAAAATAATCTAAAGATAGTTGAAATGGTCGATTTTATGTTATGTATATTTTACCACAATAAAAAAAGTAATACAAAAAAATCATTGTAAAGCTAAACTGAATTCTTCCTTAGTATTAGTTACAGCATATCTATAATTTAGGCTGAGTTAGAATAACATACATGCCATTTTAGAAATTAAAGAATCATTTAAGAAGATATAATGAAAGACGAGGATGGCATCTGAAAAAGGGTAACAATGCTGAATATCATTATGTAGTGTAATGGTCTTAAATTCAGTGTCACTATGTCTCTTTTCTGGAACTTTTCCATTCATGGGTCTTTTTGTTTGTTTTTCAGTTTGAAAAGCATGAGATAAACTTACTAGTTAGTGTGCTGCTGAAAGAAGTTTAAAATTTGTTTTGCATTTGTTGTATTCCATTCTTGTTCTTTCAGGGGTCCTTCACATACAGATACATACTTTTTCAATATTTTTTCTCCTACTTCTCGGAAATCCAAAGTTTCTTCGTGTGTAGTGTAGCTTGCTCCAGAAACACCAGTATCCACTTCATGATTTTCTGGCTGTTGATCTGCACAATGTTTCAATCCCCAGTAACACATTTCTCCACTGTACATCATAGCCAGCAAATGAATGTCACTAAATATTCCTGGGAAAGTCATTTAGGTTGAGAAATTAGTTTAAAAGTTTAAAAAAAAACCCTGGTTATTAAAACTCTAATAAATTCTTTATGTCATTAAGCATTTTTCTTTCTCATTTAAAGTTACATTTAGAAAAGCCAAATTATCACTCACTAATACAAACCCCATTTAATTGGCACTTCTATCTCTATTTTATCTATTGTCCGAGAACCCTTTTTAAAGACTTAGTTAAGTCAATGTTCTTAAGCTTTTTGGGATTCTCTATAGGACCTCTTTGAGAAGCTAATCTAATCAATGGAACCTCTCCCAGAACATACACCCCAAATTCTGCAAATAATTTCGGAACATTCAGAGAATCCCTGAATCCCATCCATGAACATAACTTTTATTTTGGAGTGTGCTTGAGGATCAATGATACAGTTCCAATAAAGCATCCTACACCTCCTGTACTTGTACATGTCTACACAAATTATCACGCTAAACATGATCCCGAGAGGCCATGTAAATCTAAACGATCAAAGATGTTAACTTATATCCAAGATGCTTTATGTTCCCAGGAAAAAGGAATACACTGCAGGATTTTCATCGAAAGTTGAAAGCATTCTTTTATGGAATAAGGCAATTACATTATATAGTTAAACATTATGGCACACAAAGTATATTAATTTGGTAGAAAGACAAACAGACCTAGAATCAAAAAGCTCTGGGGATGAATTGACTTTGGGTAACTCAGCAAAGCTCTTTGAGCCTCAGTTAACAAATCTGAAATATGAGGATTCCATATGTCCTATTTATTTCATGGAGATTTCTTAAGGAATACATGAATAAAAATGTATGAAAAAGTTTTAGAACTCATAAAGTGCTATTAAAACATTTAACTAGTTAACTTCTTAAAGTCACTCAAATATAAATAAAAGACTTACTCTAATGTGTGATTAGAAAAGTTTACCTCAAATAAATGAGCATCATAATCTCAGCTGCTCACCTAACATGGCTCAGCAGAAATGACTATGATGGTACTAGAGATTAAAAATAGATGAAAAATTCAACTTTCAAAACTGTACTAGTTTCCACCATCTTAAATCTACCGCAAGCTTTTTATCTCAGAATTTGTCCCTTCAGCTAATCTTTCACTTCACCTCAAATTTAGCTTCTAAATAGTAGCAAAAGAACAGGTTTAACAGAAGAGATGACTCATTAAACTGTTATATCAATAAAAGAAATAATCATTTAAGAGCAGAATCTGAGGCTTGTATTCATGAAAAATGATAGGCTGCACTAAATTAATTATGTTTTCTATGTATAAAACAACTTTCACTTACTAAGTATAATCATTTCTTTTCACTTTATTCCTTTATAGGTAAAAGATTATAAATCTCAGAGAAAAGCTGGATACAGCATTAGATGTTATTCAGAATTGTATTTCATATTATATACGGCATTTTGTTGAATGCATTATCCTTTTATTTTTGTGATCTTATAACCTGTCTAGTTATTCCTAAAAAGAACAGTGGAGGGGAGTAAGGAGAGAGAAGCAAAAAACAGAGGGAAGGTTGAACTTTTAAGCAGGCTAGAGCTGTGGGAGGAGGAACTGAAGTAGGTCCCACAAAGTGAAGCCACTTGGGAAGAGTGAGACATATTTGCCTAAGCGAGATCTGGGATCCAATTTATGCCCAACTCTAAGTTAGCCTCAATTTTTATATTAACAGGAGTGACTGCTGAACAAGGTACATAGATATCCTATGGAAGGTGTTACTAGGGAGAGAATGAACGACTATACGCTAAAGAGTGGTTCTCAAACTTCAGCCCGCATTAGAATTACCTGGACATGCTAAAATTTGATTGCTGGGTCCCCACCTCCAGAGTCTCAGATTCAAGTACAGGGTTGGGTCTATGAATCCGCATTTTTAACAAAGCCCTAGGACCTAGGGTGATGCTGCTGGTCCACAGACTATGCTAAACAACTTCATTAAAATATCAAAGGAAGAGATGACCAATGTGTAAATTAGGCACGTTCTCCCTCTCTACTCCCCCAAGAATTGACTACTCTGTAGCTATCTCTTTCTGCAGCTACAAATTTTCCTTGATGTTTTTTCTGCTAACGCTCAGCATGGTTTTCAATAAAATACTTAACTTTGCACTGTGCATGTCCTTGATGAACACACATGTGACAGTGAGGAGTGCAGGCAGGGAGATGCAGAATAACCCATGAAGTGAGTGGAGGCAGAAAGATGACTTATACAGAAAAAAAAGGGTGGCCAGACTGAAATCCCCTAGAAATGATGTCTAAATATGGCTGCATCATGACACGGGAGCCTATTAAAAATAGATTCCTGCACTCCATATATTGAATCAGAACCTGCAGATAGTACACAGAAGCCTGCATTTTTAATAAGCTACCCAGGCAATTAGTGATGCCAGTTCAGAGCTATTGCTTTAAGGGATCTGAAATCCAGATTCCGGGTTAAGCAATGAGCCAAAAGGCTGCCTGGAAGGTAGAGGTGGTCCCTAGTGGTATAAAAAGGGTGTAAACCAAGGTCGTGCAAAACTCAACAGTATTTTGATTTAACCCGTTTGACTCCAGGGTTATTCTGACAAGGCTTTTTATAAGGGCCCACAGAAGACTGAGGCTCAGAAATGAGGTAAAGAGATTTACTGAAAACATTACTTGCTAATTTTTAAAAGCTAAAAATTTAATGGCATATAGGCACTGTTCAAAGGACAAAATGATTATCTCACCTTGGAAAAAAATAAAAATCATACCAAGTATACACTGTTTTATCTAAAATTGGGTAAATTATCATTAAGATGTGGCCACAAAAATATTTTGATGATTCATATAGAGCTTTCTAATTAGTATTAAAGATTATTCAGAATTATGTTTTATGTTGCCTAACAAAAAATAAAATAATAATTAGAGCCTCTCCGATGGGGTCTTAGGAGTCATTTAGCCTACGAAAAGTAGGCAGGCTTTCTGGTTTCTAATCTACATCTTGAGAGAGATGAAGTCGGGAGGAGCGAACTGCTTCAGATGAGAGCAAGAAGTCAACACCAAGAGGACTGAGCCCTGGCAAAACTGCTGTGGAGCTGATGTTGTTTTCTCCTTTCCTAGGGAAAAAAAGAGACCCTATCTGTCCCTTTTGATTCCCCTGTTGAAGAAGCAATGGGAGTTGGGGAAAGTACAATCAAATTACGATCTGAGAGAAGACAGCAGTATCACAAGCATTCTAAAGAAAAAATTCCAGGCCATGAAAGTATATTACCTTATAACTAGAAATGGGACAATGAGCACAACTGGTGACCTGTGCCACTTTCTGTGGTTCTAAACAGGCTTTAGCGCCTATCCTTGCTTTTTCTTTTAAATCAATCCATGCAGGTGGATGAGGAGATTTTAGAAAGGTCATTTTCAATGCAGCTAATTAGTTCATAAGTTATCTGGAATAAATACTTCCCACAAATAAATCAATACACCCATGTTTGTCAAAACGTCATGCCCACTGAAGGAGCACTTTGTATTCGCAATAAGATTTTTTTAGGACAAGCTACTTAGCTTGAATTAACTGAAAGGAACAACTTTTGGACACCAGTAGCCAGACATATGTTAATGACACAAATCATGCTGGTTTTAATAGGCAATGTTTTTGAATAGAAAGGAAAAGCCTAAAGAAGCTAAAAAAGAAAGAATTATTAAAGTAAACTTATAAAATTAAAATATAAAATTTTCCCTAAGAAGTTTTCATCTTTCCCATATTTGATTTTTCCCCATCAAAACTCCAGATTGAGCATCAACAAAAATTTATATGTAGTCAATTGCAAGCTACTTGACCTTAAACAGGTTATCGGGCTTATCAGGAAGAACCTCAGTTCTTCCATTTGTAAAAAGAGATGGTAAAAATAAGTGGTTCTTCCCTCCCATAGTCTAGTCTAAAACCCAAACGATGCTCTATATTCAGTTCCTAACATTTTTAAGTGCACAGACGTTTATGACAGAAACTAACAGTTGCCACTAAATAGTCATTCTTCCCTTCTTTCTTAGTAAAAAGACAATTTATTTGGGATGGCGATGTATCAGGTAAAGGGCTATACACCCCGGTTCCCTTGTAGCAACATGAAGCCATGTGATTTAATTCTGGCCAGTGAAATGTAGGTGGAAGTGTTCTAAGAAACTTCTGAGAAGACTGCACCAAAGGAACAGCTTGGCTGAAAGAAACATCCTTTTGCCATGCCTATAGACCGAAACATAGGTGAGATGGAAGGAGTTCCAGGAGCATCTTGTGATACTGAGGATGGAAGCAATCTCCTCAACAGAGATGCATGTTGCACAACTCTGGGTCTTGTTTACATGGTATTCTGTGAAGTGCCTCCCTCTGAAGCTCTCGGGCTCCAGTTCTAAAGCTGACAAAGTAAAAAGATAGGAACCTAATGATGCCATGGAGCCACCATAACCAGCTCCAGACCTTTTTTATGTGAAAAAGCAGTAAATTTCTACATTGTTTAAAAGTTACTTCCAGTCTCAGTTACAAGTAGTTGAACCTAGTGACTGATCGGGGCCATGTGTGGATGCAAAGGAAATAAAAGTAACATGATACGTAATTCTCCCAAAATTACTAAACAGAGATTAGCAGTATTTTTCTATATTACATGAGAAGATCTCTGAAGTTTTTTAAAGTCCCTTTATTTTTTGTCCATAATGTGACTTGAAATTTTTTAAATCAGAGTTAAATCAAATAAATTCCTTAAAATTTTAAAAAGCTTTAAAACACCTAGAAAACTTCAAAAAGAGATCACATTACCTTCGCTCAGTAATTTAGCTGTGTCTAGGTCCTGGAAAGAAACTCCTTCATTTAACTGGATAGGACACCGATAATTTAGCATCTGTAGCAAGTAACTGATTCCATCAACAAGGTACTAAATCAAAGTCAAAGCCAAAGAATTGAAAGCATTATATGCAAAGCTGTAGAAACTTCAAATGCTAAATTTTTCCCCATTCTTTAAAATTAGCTCATATATAGACATATCTTATGGCTATTACATTACAGTGGTACAAGGACCCACCACCCTACAACTTTTATAAATATAACCCTCCAAAGAGTAAGGAAAGAGTAAAAAGAGTAAGGAAAAGAAAAATAAATATATTGTTAACCAAGAACACATGATTCAGTAATATACTTTTCAAAAATGTTATCATAGGAACAAAAGGATAAAGATAATAAAAATGTGTTCAATAACAATGTATTAAAAATATCTATGTACTTATGATAACTTAGAAATACTATGATCAAACTTTTCCATATGAAAGCGTGAGCTCTCATTTCCAGGCCCACATAAACCACGTGCACAATCAACCCACATCAGAATCCTTAGTAATACAATACTACAAGAGGGTCTTTGGATTTATGAATTTGGTCAGAAGAGTCAAGGCAAATCCGAGGGCCACAATTCTGTAGCAGCAGGGTCACGTGGGTTCTTTAGGGGTGATCTGCTGACAGAGAGAGGCTCACAACCAAGTCTGTTTGCTTCAGGCCAAAACATACACTTAGAAATTAATATAGATTGTCTATCTCATATTTTAAAAAATAAAAGTCCAGAACTTAAATAAAATCATGCAGAACTTTCCAGTTTACAAAGGGATTTCATATGTTATCTTATTTAATCTTTACAGTAATTCCAATTTGTTTAGGATTACATAGCTAGGAGGTCAAAGACCTGGAATGCAAACTGACCCTTTGATTCCACTACTCTTAATACTACACCAAAGACAGCTTTTTGAAACCTATGGATGTCAAGAATAAAAAATATATGAGGAATGCCTTTTTACCTTTTTAAGAAAACTAGATTTTCTCGTGAGCCATTCTCTCCTTTTGGTCAGAGAATGACAATACATATAAAGTAGGGCTCCTCGTCTCCAAGAGAGACATTCCAGGAGCTCATCCCCAAGCAAGTCGCTGTGCTGAAATATAACAAAAACAGAGCTGAAAAGAGAAACTACATGTCTGTAAGAATCAAAATTAAATTTCAAAGTTTAATTTTGAATTTTAATAATTTTATAATAAAATAATTTTTTTTTTTGAGGAAGATTAGCCCTGAGCTAACATCCATGCCTATCTTCCTCTACTTTATATGTGGGATGCCTACCACAGCATGGCTTGCCAAGCAGTGCCATGTCCGTGCCTGGGATCCAAACTGGCGGACCCCGGGCTGCCAAAGCAGAAAGTGCAAACTTAACGGCTGCGCCACTGGGCCAGCCCCTAAATTAATAATCAAAATTAATTCAAAATTTACTGAGCAATTAAAAACAGTATCATTTCACAAAATTTGCTCTTCACTTAGCTACTTACACAGCAATGCCCTACTTTGAATCAATTAGAAATACAGAAATCTATTGCTACAGGAAAATTAAAATAACTACTCCAATTTACAGAGTTTTTACAAAATGACATTTATTTTAGTACCCAATTCTCCTAATATAGTTGAAATGTAAGTATTTCATAATCTGATTAAGAAGACAACTTCCAAATTATATGTCACTTGAAACAAGATCGTATCTATTTCTATTCTTGTTAGAATAAAATAATAAAAAGATATACACAAAAACAATTTTAATAAATCAAACTTTTACCTTGTTATGTCATTTAAAACTTGGGATTATTTGTTTCTATTTGTTTCCACAGTTAGCATCCTCTGATAAACACATAGAGCAAAAAAGACATCTCAGTAGAGACAGCCAGAAGGCAGTGAAAGATGAGAAATTATTACTTGAAAGAGTAGCCAGACTAGAGACAAAAATCTTGGAATCATCTCTGGGGTCGGCCCAGTGGCACAGTAGTTAAATTTGCATGCTCTGATTCAGTGGCTGGGGTTCATAGGAGTGGATCCTGGGCACAGACATACACACCGCTCATCAAGCCATGCTGTGGTGGAGTCCCACATACAAAATGGAGGAAGATTGGCACAGATATTAGTTCAGGGCCAATCTTTCTCACACAGACACACACAAATCTTGGAATGATCTACATAGAGATGGCAGTAAAAACTGTGAACAGGTTGTCAAGCAAAGACAGAATAGAGATTAACAGAGGATTAAGGAGATATCCTTTGGGAGTGCCTGCATGTCCAGAATGGGAGAGGGGAGATGCTCAGGAAAGAGCAAGAGCAAGGCTTCTCAGAGATGAAGCAGAGGAGCATGGAGGGATGGGGTGACCAGTGGTATGAAAGGCAGCAAATGCCCAGGAGAATGAGGATTGTAAAAAGGACAACAGATGTAGCAAGAGATTACTGGAGACTTTCAAGAACACACAGCATCTGCAAAAGTAAGAGAGCAGAAACAGCAAATATCTGTGTTTAGAAAATGATTAGGCACTGTAATTACGATACAATTCCATCATGCAAATATTCTGAAACATATTTAGTAAAATATGATACTTTAGTTGTCATGTTGGTCTAAAGTGTTAAACTCTCACATGTCCTCCCTTCAATCTTAATTTAGAACAGAGACAAAGACACATTCAAGAAAAAATAGACTCCAAAGAGAAATATAGCAAGAATTAGAAGAATTCCACCATAATTCACATGAGTACAAAACTTACTTTTGGATGCATATTATTTTCTTTAACTAAAATTTCTGGTTCTGAAAGAAAACCAATCAGCTCTTTTACTTTCTGTGAAGAGTCTTCAGGAAAATCTTCATCTACTAGCTTGTTCTCCTCAAAATATGTCATGTCCAAAATAGCCTGAAGTAAAAGAGAAGACAAGTATCTACAAATGATTTCAACTTGAATGAATAACTCTTACAGTTTAATCTTACATATATAGATACTTTATTAGACATTTAAATCTTCTGGCAAGTAGTTAAATTTGAAAAATAGGCAAAATGTTTAGCTACAATCATAATCTGAGATGGATTTGATAGAAAACTTCATAGGTAGTTTACTGAAATATTGAATTAATGATAACCTTGCTTCCCTCAAAAAATAAAATGGAGATTTATACTTTCATTAAGATAAGCTAATCATACACAACATAATGATGAAAAGTATAATCATATAAGTAAAATTATTCTTTGCTATTTATACACATCCACACAGAGGCCTGAATTTGAAAGGAAAATTAAAGAAAAAAAGGGGAAACAGAAAAATTTTATGAATCAGCGTGATAAAAGCAGGGGGACTCATGTTGAGAATCCCAAGGAAAGACGAATTTCAAGGAAAAAAATAGGGCCCTTATAGAGACCTCTAATCCCTCTGAATGACCTTCAACTGCATATATTAGTGTTTTGCTTAATTGCCCACAAAGGGAAGCAATTCTGTTATCTGCAAGATCTTCCTGACTTTTCTTATCAATACAGCTAATAAATCTTGCTTCTTTGCACACTACCTCAAAGCTTCAAGTCCATATGTTTTATGCACACAGTTTCTTGGACAAAATTAAACACTTTACATAGAGAATAAAATGATAAAATAGAAATAAATAGAGAATAAACTGACAAAAAAAAAGAATAAACTGATTTCATTACACCTAAACTTTAAAGTCAATCATCTTAAATAATTCTGCCCCTGTAACATGTCAGAAATCACGTTTCAGTACCTGTGTGTAAAGTTCTAGAAGATTTGATGGATTTGAACATTCTTTGTCTTCTCCACACAGAAGTTTCAATTTTTCTAGAGCTGCAGAGGCCCTAATTAAAAAGTGATCTGTAAGAGAGAGATCACTTCACAGTTTCAGTGTTATTTAAACAAAAAAAGTTACATATCTGAAATGATGAAATGCAATTATGTTACAGCATTGGAGAAACAGCATAGTAGTAATGGTATCATTTGTAAAAGGTTAAATATATCATAATGTCTAATCCTACTTAAATTTATCATAAAAGTTATTCTGGAAAGCTAGACTGAACACTTTCTAGGTTCAGTTGCCATTTCTTAAAAGGAATCTGTAGTTTCATAATGCTTCTTTTGTGATGTTGATGCTCTCAAAATGTTTAAATAATAAATTTAAAACTTTTATTGGAATAGTAAAAATATATAAATCTACAGAAAGGGTTTCCACAGAAAACTTATAATTTCATAAATGTATTCTCCAAAAGAACACGATTGATTAAATCAAATGCCTCATAAAATGTAAGCACTGAGCAACTATAACTTTATCATAATTGTGTTTATGTGTGTAAACAGCTGTAACAATTAAAATTACATAATCCATCTACGTGTTTTATTTCTTTAAAAACCTAGAAACGGAACAAATTACTGAATTCCTTGCAAACCTGGAAGAAATTGAACTAAATACTTCTGATCTGCCCTCTAAAAATAACTCACTCTCCCTCCCCTCTACATTGTCTAATTTCTTCCCTTTCTCTACTGTCATATTCCCTTTGCTTCTATGATTTCACTTTTTCTTATAGATTTTTCCTCCCTTACCTTCAAAGCGTCTGTATCAAGGTCCTATCCACCCTTCTGCATCCATCTCATGTGGTCAGATTCAGATATGCCCACCAGCAAGACACCAAAGTTCCTGAGTTTGCCCCTCTGTGCTTCCCCCCTGAAACATATACTTTTCCCTCCTCACTGGCCAATGCACAGAAAATGTAGCATTTGGTGTGGGCCCCTCTGACCCTGCCTCAGCACTTATACAGACAGGTGAGCTGTCTGGCATTGGAACAAAAGCACCACCAGCTTAAGTTAGGTGTGATGGCAAGCATACAATGACCTTAAGTTTTCCCAGGTGAGGTTAACCTGTATCTAGACCAGATTCTGATTGCTTTAAGGTCTGCTACTCACCTGAATTGAAAGTTCCTCCTTTAGCACTGCCCTCCCAACTCCCCTCAGCCCAGAAGTATCATCTACACAACCCAGAAAAAAAGATTCTATTGTGAAATCAAATTGCATGGAATCTGGCACTCCTTATGTGCTTCTTTAGAGATGAGTTAGTTTTTTTCCCTTAATTTGCAGGATTATTTTAAATGTAAAGACCTGCACTAAATTCACTAAACCATTGCTTAAGAAGTATCTCACACGAACTCATGACATAATTTGGGGGGGGAGGGTAATGGCTCACATTTTAGAAAATTTTTATAAGATCTAATATTTTTACTAGAACCACTCAAAGTAACAATTATCAAGGCAAAGACAAAAGTGATTTTTACATAATCCTTGGAAAGTCTCTCTCACAGCATACTTCCATATAGAAAATACACTGTGCTTGTACAACGAGAAATAAACCAAGAAAAACTGACCAGAAATAAAAAGGAGAGCATTCTTAGATGGAGCATGTCTGGCTGTATCTGATCTAATTTGAAGAAGACAACAGGGACTATCAATCCCTACAACCTAATACAAATACACTGCTGTTACACATTTTGAGTGTTTCTTGAGTGTTTCTTATTTTTGTTGCATGGGAAAAGAATGCCAAGTTCAATTTAAATACATGCAACCACGTTTTAATTAAACTTCATAATATAAGAAAATCTTGCTAGTAATACTTCATAGCTCATAATGTGGGCCACTATCACTTTAATTTTAGCAAACTGTCAGAACTTTATAGCCTCCAAACAACAATGTATACTACTTGACTTTTATTTCCAGCCTTCATTCTGGACTGGATTAAAGAACTCTTCCACCGGAAAATGAGAACGGCTTTTGGGTTCAGTGATAAGTGAATAAAAAACATTCTTTGATCTCTTTAGACTGGTTCAAATGGAGCTGGAGAAGGGTGAAGATCACTGAACAGCTTATTTAGAGGCAACTTAGCTACACTTCTAGGTAACAGCTACTACTGTGCATGAACTAACTATGCATGGCAATCTCGGGATTCTCTTGCCACAAACCAAAAAAGAAGCCAGCTTCAGGGTGGTCTGTGGGTTTTGAAGAACATACTCGCAAAAAAAGATAATCCAGCAAATGATCTTCACTGAAACTAGAGCCATTTCATCGTGGACCCTATTTAATAAATTGACCAACGATTCAGTCGTTTGGGAAAATGTTCCACTACCATTTTCCTATGAGTCTGATGACAACGAGTCAGTCCACAAGAATTTTAAAACCTACCTGTAGTAAAGGCTTAAAACAGAAAAAGAAATAATGTAGAACCTATAGCCAGCTGAAAAATAATGAAAGAAAACTGAACTTACACTCAAAAGTCAAGGTAATTCTCTAAACCAGTTTTTCCTAAGGAAACCGCTTAAGATATTTCCAAAAGAAATGTTCAAATACTGACACAGCCCTTTAAGAATTGAGATGACGTATGTGAAAGAATCGTCTAACTTATACCAATGTAAAGCTCTTCTGTAGAATACTGTTTACAGTTGAGTTTAGAATCCAAAATATAAGACGGAAATTTACAACGCTTCAGTGAAAAAGTGGAACTGTTACACACGCCTAGCTATCTTTACTGCATGCAAAACCACCACTACTTATTGGCATACTATCATTCAGCTTTAACCGCTCATTTAAACTTTCGTGCGTACTTTAATCTAGATTTTGCCCTTTTCCCAATCGCTACCGAGAGCAGCACTGATCTGAGATGTAAGCCATTTCCCTGGGTTATGAAAAACGCGGTTTCAACACAAACACCTTGGTGAGGCAAAGCGAGCTCTTGTGGGTGGACAATCGACGCGCAGCAAGGGGTTCAGAAGCCAACACCTTAGGTAGCTCTGGCCTGAGATCCACACGGACCACAGGCCGCAGCCTCCAGCCCCTAGGGCTCCGGAGCGCCAGCTCTGAACCACCGTCCGCCTGCCCGCTCCCTCTCCTCCGCTCCCTCACCGTCTTCGCCAGCCGCTTCGCTAAGTTGCTGAATATGGGCTTGAGCCAGGTCCCCGAGCTCCTCCACTCGCTTCACCACACTGGAGCCCGCGGCCGCCATGGCCACAACGGGCGGGCGCGCCCCAGCCACGTGACAGCCACCGGCCCGTGGTCACCTGATCCCCGGACCAGGGCGGGGCGTGGGGGCGGGGCTCTCCTTGTTAGTGGGCGGGGACCCCAGCTCCAGAAGAGGGCCGGCCACGCCCCCCAGAGGTTGTTCCGGGTTATTTTCTTCCTCCCGGGCTTCCCCTCCCTTCCATAATCCTGAGCAGCCAGGGGACTTTAGGGGCGGGCATGACGTCAAGGGACGCCTCTCTCCCGCCCCTTCCTCTAAGCCAATCGGGAGCCGTCCATGCCTCCAAGCTGATCCAATGGGAAGCCAGCTCTCTCCGCGGGGGGGGAGCTGGCGAAGAGGCGTGGCAACAGGTGGCTGGCGGATGGCTGCCAGGCAGCCCTGCCCCTGCGTCTCTATCACGCGCTACAGCTTGGTCACTAGAGCAGACGGGAAGGTCTGGAAATAGGACCGTCTGGTTTTGGCCTTGAAGTGAGGAGGTTGCCTAAAATAAAATGATTATAATCTCCTGGTCAGAAATGGAAAGCTTGACAGCACCCTTGTAGCACATCCAACTCCAAGAGATTATTGTGAGAGTGGGTGGGGAGCTACAAACATGAATGGGAGTTTCCAGTCTACATGGCTATGTGTCCTTTTCTTTTCTAAATCTTAATGTTAGCAGCTGAGTTTATTTTATTTCAGATCTGCTTTGGTTATTAGCTCAAGGTTAACGTACTTTAACCGTCTCGCCTCCAATACTAACAAAATTTTGCATTTACCGAAATTTCTATTGCCATGCCTCTCGAGACCCTCCCTTAAAGCGTTCATTGCTTTAAGCGTGAGTTCATCCTCTCCACTTTGAGTTTCAAAGCACTTAGTCAATGAGTCTAACTTCCATTTTGCATTCCCTGTTTTCTTCTTTCTGGTCAAACAAATCTTTAATTCGGATTTTTGTTCTTCAATTTGACTGAGGATATCTTGAATAATCTTCATCCTATCATTTCTTATGAAAAGTATTTTTTTTTTACTTAATAGAAGATACTGAAAATGGGAAAGTGTGTTGTGATTTATAAGTGATTGACCACAACAGCTTTTTTTTTGTTTTGGTGACGATTGGCCCTGAGCTAACATTTGTTGTCAATCTCCCTCTTTTTGCTTGAGGAAGATTATCCCTGAGCTAACATCTGTGCCAGTCTTCCTCTATCTTTTGTGTATGGGATGCTGCCCAGCATGGCTTGATGAGCTATATATTGTATAGGTCTGCACCTGGGATCCGGGCCTGCCAACCCCAAGCTGCTGAAGCAGAGAGCAGGCACTTAACCACTTCCCCATGGGGCTGGCCCCCACTCAGTGGCTTTTTTTTTTTTTTAAAGATTTTATTTTTTTCCTTTTTCTCCCCAAAGCCCCCCGGTACATAGTTGTGTATTCTTCGTTGTGGGTTCTTCTAGTTGTGGCATGTGGGACGCTGCCTCAGCGTGGTCTGATGAGCAGTGCCATGTCCGCGCCCAGGATTCGAACTAACGAAACACTGGGCCGCCTGCAGCGGAGCGCACGAACTTAACCACTCGGCCACGGGACCAGCACCCCCACTCAGTGGCTTTTTAACTGACCCTCGTAACACCAGTTTCTTCTTCCTTCAGTTCTCCCTAAACATAGGTGACAGGAATCATGTGTTAATTCTGTGTCCTTAGCGCCTCCTACAGTGCCTGGCATATAATAAGTACTCAGAAAATGTTTAGTAATTGAACAAAAACTCCATGTTATCTTGCCAATATATTACTCTCTTATCAGGAAGCTGAAGGCCAGGAAAGTTGCCTTATATGATCAATGTGGGTTAAAGAAATGAAACTCTAATAAGCATTTAACACCTCAAAATGCCAAACCTCCCTAAGTGTATATTTTAAATAAAATTTACAATTCCAATGATTCATTAAACAACCATGTACTTTCAGCAGCAAACTGCTGAAAGGAGAATTACTGCTCAAATGATACCCAAGTGTGAGCATGTCTTCAGAGAGAGTTACAAGGGATCTGAGAGCATGTAGTTTAGCCCCTCATTTCCAGGTGAAGAAACTAGACAGAATTCAACTATTAACCACTCCAAACCCTGATAGATGTGATTCGATGATTTGTCCAAGATCATACCAAAGTAAGCACCTGCAGAAGACTGTCTCACCATGGATATAAACAGATTACAGCCAGACCTCACCAATGCACACTGAAGAAAGTGCTTAAAGCCAGAGAAACCCCATCCTAGAAAAGAGGAAATATGAGCAATTTTCTCCAATTTTATATTTAGATATTTTCATTTTAGGGAATCTACATGAATAGAACAAATAAAAATATAATGCTAGATTTCAAAAACCTCTTCAGAGAAATTAATAATTATGAATTTACTATAGTCAACTTACTAAATTATGAATTTACCATTATTAATCTGCCCAAAGAAATCTTCTAAAATAAGTAATTGATCTCTTCTTTACCACTTTCCTCCCCACTGATATAAATGGATAAAATCCAATTAGCCAAGAAGACATTAATTTCTATGGATGTTTGTAAAAGACATAAAGTATTTAAAAATAAAATGCTTGATCGCTTCTGAATTACTAGTACTTAAAACTTGTAACATTCTTTTGGAACTTTCCCTTTACTGCTTTATATTTTTCTGTGTGGGTCTTATTTTCTCACATAAATGCACCAACCCCTTGTGAACACGGACTGTGTTCTACTTTTTTTTTTAGTTGCCACCAGTGACTTGCATTAAAGATTTCTTTCTTTTTCATTTACTGATCCATTACTGAGTCAGGCACTACAATAGGCACTAGGATTCTAGCAGTAAATGAAATGAACATGATCACTGCCCGCCTGGAGCCTGTTATCTCGTGGGGGAAGACAGAGACACAATAATCACACAAAGGAATGCATAATTTTAAAATTATGGAAGATACTATGAAGGAAAAGTAAAAGGATATGATTTGTTTTGAGGTATCAGAGGAGGCTTCTCTGAGGAAAGGATATTAACACCTAAAGGATGAATAAAATTAGCCAGGTGAAGAGTGGGGTTGTGTACCAGTCTGGGTCCAATCAGGAAAGAGAAACCATACGGTAATGTGAACAGGAAAGTTTGATATAAAGAATTATTAACTACGACAGGGGATTGGAGTCACAATGGATTGGCTAGTAAGAAGTAAGAATAGAGAAATAGCAGGGATAAGGGTCAGCCACTACCCCTGGGATAAAGTTTCAGACCTTGTTGGAGAGCTCAAGGCCATGGGTTGCTGGCTGGCCGGAAAGTCACTATAGTCTGCACCAGTGGAACTTGCTGGAACTCTACCGTCTGGAACTTGCCAGAAATCTGCTCTCTAGGGTGCTGGGGAAAGCTGCTCATGGCAAAGTATCTCACGGGAGGCACTCTGCTACAAAACTGCCCAAAATGGGTGTCAGGAAGAGCTGCTGGCTGCTATGCACTGCAGATGTCTGGTGCCAGGGAAGCTGTGTGTGTAGCAGGAGCGAGATGCCAGAGAAGCTGCCCGTGCTACAGAACCTGCCAAGAAAAGACAGGAGAACCAGAAAGGAAGACCTTTTGTCTCCTGTAATGTCTCTCTAGTTCCCTCTGCTGACAAAGTTTAACATTGTATCAGCTGACAAAGAAAAAAATATTTAAAGCGTTCAGATATGTTTTCACAAAACAGGCAAAAAGGATAAATCTGGCACTGAGAAGCAATAAATCTATAATCAGCACACTGGAGAAGAACAAATCTGGCACAATAAATAGCATATGCAAAGACTCTGAGTTTGGAAAGAGCCGGGCAGTTTGGAGGGATGAAAGAAGGCCAAAGGCTTCTGTGTGAGGGGGAAGGTGGAGCAAGGTGAGGCTAAGGAGCAAATGTGGAGGTTATCTCTTTTTTTTTTTTTTTTTTTGAGTAAGATTAGCCCTGAGCTAACATCTGCTGCCAATCCTCCTCTTTTTGTTGAGGAAAACTGGCCTTGAGCTAACATCCATGCCCATCTTCCTCTACTTTATACGTGGGATGCCTACCATAGCATGGCTTGCCAAATTGTGCCATGTCCACACCCAGGATCCAAACCACTGAACCCTGGGCCGCCAAAGTGGAATGTGTGCACCTAACCACTATGCCACTGGGCTGGCCCCCGAGGAGGTCATCTCTTGAGGTGGATGCCTCACTTACAACCGTGGAACTGGACTACAAACCCTGAAGTGTGCCCCGCACTGGCCATGCCTGTATTAATTGACCGTGTCTTCTGACCATGGTCAATTCCTTGATTCAATTAGATGGTCATTAGTTCAATATTTAATGAGCACCTAGTCTATGCCAGGCATCATTATATGGTAATAAACAAGACAGACCTGCCTTTGTGGAGACATATCCAAGAGTACATAATAGATAGATCCAGGAGTAAAAATCCAACAGAAGCCAAGCCAATCTGATTCTTTCTCCTGGTAATTTGAAACTTTGAAGAGAAAGCACAGAGACAAGACTAATCACATTAATGTCAGCACTCCAGAGGGACAAATCCACTTGCTGCTACTGAGGCTACCTGGGGGCAGATTTGGTTTCTTTACCTCCCTAAGTCTTGGTTCCTCAACCTTTTCCTTGATAGTCTCCTGTACCTTTATCCTGAAACTAATCAGAGTCAGTTTCTGTTATTTGCAATAAAAAAAAAAAAAAAACACAAAACACAGCCTGGGTATAGATTAGTAAGGCCAGGTCAGGCAGGGCCTCTGATGACATGTTAAAGACTGCAAACTTTATCTTAAGTAGAACAAGAAGCTATTGAGGTGTTTTACACGAGGGAGTGGCATATCAGATTGTATTTTAACAACCCCGCTCAGGCTTCTGTGAGGAGAATGGAATGGCGAAAGTGTGAAAGAAGAGTGGGTAGTTCAGTTAGAAGACCATTTAGTTCTCTGGGTGACAAAGTAATTCATCTTAGGATGGGGACAGTGGAAATGGAGAGAAGTGATTCTGTTCAATACACTAGAGAAGCAGAATCAATAGGATGTGGTGATGGGATTGGATGTGAGAGGTAAAGGAGAAAGGTAT